GCTTGCATGCATGTTGGACAGCCAAGCACCTCATTGGGCTCCCCCTTGACACGTATCCCACTGACCATCTCTTCCTTAACTATCTGCTGCAAAATGGGCAATGCCACATGCCCCATTCGCCGATGCAAGGTCAGCCAATCACACTCTCCCGTAGCGGAAGTCGGGTTGGAGAAAGCGGCACTCGCAATTGTGCCCCACAAGCTCTCTCCTTTCTCCTTTGCCGCTGCTGCTTTGCTGATCTTAGGCTTCTCCTCCTCATTTCCACCACCTTTGGCTGCTGCACCACTCTCCTTGGGTTCACACGCCTTGCTGGTCTCTCCGAGATTGCGTTCCTTTGAGTCACTCTTTGTGTCACTTTGCTTTCCGTGATCACCGCCACCAACCGCTTCACTCTTGGTGCTGACGCTTGCTGCCACTTGCCTCTCTTTAGGCATAGGGACCACTGGGATTTTCCACCTCTCATTGTAGATGTCACTGTCCTCATGAAGGTCCCAAAGCTTCCGCTCTCCAAGCCTCTCGGTATAGGTTTTGGATCCCTTGGAAGATGTGTCCATGCCGGCCTTTTGCAAACGCCGAACAGAAATCCGGTTGGTTGCTAGGTTGGGCACCCAAAGCACGTTCTTGAGGCCCACCATCTTCCCATCAGCACCCTTGAACATGACTTTGCCCATGCCTTTCACCTCTGCTCACTGCACCAAAGCCGATGTAACATGCTTCACCGGCGATGGTTCGAGTTCGGTGAGCAAGTCCGCACGAGGTGTCATGCTATAGGTGGCACCGCTATCGATCACCCAAAAGTCCAGAGAGTGAAGAGTGACCTTTCCCACAGTAGCTGGCTCCTCAAAGCCTTCCACAGCTCCCGCTGCTGCTGCTGCTTGCGTGGAGACAAAGGAGAATTGGCCCGGGTATCGATCTTCACTCGGCCCTGTCTTGTAGTCTCCACCTTTCATGCTTGCCGCTTCACTTCCACGACCACCACGGCCTCCACGACCTCTGCCTCTTCCTCCCCTTGCACCTCTGCCCTCTTGGCCTTGAGAAGGGGTCCATCCATCAGGCAGTTTGAAGCAATATCTCCACATGTGGCTGGTCTTGTGGCAAAAGTGGCATTCGCCATCAAATCGACCGCGCCCACGCCCGTAGCCATTGTTGTTGTTGTTGCTGCCATATCCTCCATTACCACGGCCTCCATTGAAGTAGCTGCTTCCAAATCTGCCTCTTCGCCCTCTGCCCCTTCCACGGCCATGCCCACGGCCCATGCTTGCAACTCCGGCACCATCGGGACCTGCCAATTCACGGCGGCGGAAATCTTCTTGCAAGATTTCCCGCTTCACATCTTCGAGCGAGAGGCGGGGCAGGTCTCGATTCAGGTTGATGATGAGCAAGGACCATGAGTCCGGAAGTAAGGCCAGCAGCTTGGTCTTCTTTTGAAGGTCACTGTAGTTCAGCTCAGCTCCTTCGAGCCGTGTCAACAAGTCGAAGAATTTCTGCACTCCTTCCTCCACCGGTTCGTCTTCGTCAATTCTAAGTGCCACCATTTGCCGCTCCAAGACCACAGCCACCGCCGCTGTTGCAGGAGCGTGTACACCCTTGAGAGCAGCCCATGCCTTTGGTCCCTTTGCTGGTTCACGCTGAAAGGGCTTGATGTGACGGATTTGGCTGCTCCCCAACGCTTGCCCAAGTAGAAGATAGCCTTGTGCGCTCTTCCGCACCCACGGGCTCTTCTCCGGGTCGTTCTCGGGGCGCTTCTCCATTCCTTCCATCACCTCCAGCAGATCATAGTGGTCAAAGATGTTCTCCATCTTGAAGGACCACTGAGCAAAGTTGTCACCGTTGAACTTGTCAAGGCCAAACACTCTAGGCTCATCCCTAGAGGGGCCAAGACTAGGTTGCACGGGAGCAATGGGTTGATCTTGGTGTTAACCTTGTGCTTGGGCGTCTTCTCTGCCTCCATCACCTCTGCCACCCCGTTCCTCAGTTCTAGGCATGGTCGAAATGGCTCCAAGGGGCTCTGATACCACTTGTTATAACCACAATAGGCTCAGATGTGCCTAAAATGAGAGAAATTGTGCACAGTCAGAATTCCGTTAGACAGCTTCAAATATTGATTCCGATCTGATGTGTGTCTTAAACGGTGATCTGTAAATTGGATTTGGAGCGCGTTGCTGTCGCCTATCAGCAGCAAGTTGAATCATAAAATTTCATTAAGGTTTGACGACGCTATGGCGGTTTGACTGGCAGGAGGTACAGCAGCCACTATAGTCTTAGGAGTACAAGAAACTTAGGAAGAAGAATTCGAGGTAGGGATGGTTCCCAGCCTCTACATACCCCAAGAGCCGAGGTCCAAGTTGGTGTTACACCACCACAGAGTCCCCAACCATGAGGAGACTCGAAACAAACCCAACAAGGGGCTACACCAAGTGAAATGTAACACTACTTGAAGTAGCATTACTATTTTCACAATTTTAATATTTGTCCCCGTCCCTTGGGCTTAAAATATTGAGCTCTTGGTCTTGGTTCAGCAAGATCAGTTCTTCTTGAGATGATGAGGGCTTGCTGCACACACCTGTGATGAGATGGACACTTCACACTCGACAAAATAGAGAAAGCACATGCGACGCACAAACGACGACTTGACATGCGAGTTGTGAAAACTCGCTAATGTCTTGACCGACACAAACCACATTGTGATACACCAGTTAAACACACACACAAGCACTAGATAGCAATGGCATAGACTCACAAGCCATTCCATGCCATGCATGCACACACACAAACAAGGACGACAAGCTGAGTGCAAGCCATAGGGTTGCACCAACAATCTTTGCGTCCATGGCAGCTATCCACTTAGAGGCCCAGGGTCCCGTCGTCGCCTCAGCGTAGGTGCGAGAGATCGGGATGTCTAGAGCATCTGGGTCACCCACAGGGGTTAGCATCATAGAGCAGAGATGGGGAGTGGCCTCTGCCAAGAAGGCTATCTCGTACTGTCTGTCCTCTAGGACGTCCCTGCCAAGGGCAGGTGCACCCCCAGCAGACGGGTAGGGTTAAAGACCAGTGCAGTGGCGTAGTCAAGGCATTGGGTAGAGGCAAAGTCACCGACGGCAGGGACAAGAGCCGAGAGACTAGAGACGGAAATGGAAGGGTCGGTAACAAGTGAGGCTAGGTTACGAGGAACCAGATGGCAAGCAGCACGGAGTTAGTCTAAGAGAGGAGGCAAGGAGACCGAGAGGGACGGCTAAGGAGGCGACGGGAGAACTAGCGCAGGAGAAGCACGAGACGCGTGAGCACGGAGAGACATAGTGTGGGCACTCGGAGCAGGAGAGACGGGACGAGCACGAGTGGGACGATGAGACCACCAGTGAGAGGGGGGCGTAGGGTCATGAGACTAAGGAGGAGACACAGCAGGAGAACGAGGGGGGAAACGAGTCGGGGACGAGTCCCGCAGGGGGAACATGGGGCCATAGATAGGAGGAGGCGACGCTGGGGGAGGCACGGGCGGTCAGTCGGTCGAGGCTCCTGACACAGGAGGTTCATGGCCCTGTTGTCAGCGTACAGGACCAGGGCAGAGCTTGGCCGCTCACCTAATTTGGTGACCAAGAATGTCAGCTAGCGGAGCTCCTGTGCCGCCATGGCACCGGCGTAGATCTCAGTCTCACAGCTAGACTGAGCAATAGACGAGGATCGAGTGGACCTCCTCGTGATGGCACCTGAAACCCCACGAGGAATACGGGTTACGTGGCACTAGATACGAGGGCATGGGATATCAGGGCACTGAATACTGGCAACACCGAATCTCAGGGCACGAGGGCACGAAACGCGAGCGAACGCAAGAGGGCATGAGATACGAGGAAAAGAGGCCATGAAGGCATGGAACTGTTGGTGCAACCCTATGGCTTGCACTCGGCTTGTCGTCCTTGTTTGTGTGTGTGCATGCATGGCATGGAATGAATTGTGAGTCTATGTCATTGCTATCCAGTGCTTGTGTGTGTGTTTGAATGGTGTATCACAATGTGGTTTGTGTCGGTCAAGACATTAGCGAGTTTTTACAACTCGCATGTCAAGTCGTCGTTTGTGTGTCGCATGTGTTTTTTCTATTTTGTCGAGTGTGAAGTGTCGATCGTGTCGCAGGTGTGTGCAGCAAGCCCCCATCAACTCAAGAAGAATTTATCTTGCAGATCCAGGAACAAGAGCTCAAGATTTCAAGCCCAAGGGACGCGGATAAATATTAAATAGTGAAAATAGTAACGTTACTTCGTGTAGTGTTACATTTCACTTGGTGTAGCCCCTTGGAGGGTTGGTTTCGAGACTCTTCATGGTTGGGGACCCTGTGGTGGTGTACCACCAACCTGGACCTCGGCTCTTGGGGTATGTAGAGGCTGGGAACCATCTCCCTCTCGAACTCTTCTTGCTAAGTTTGTACTCCTAAGACTATTGTGGCTGCTATACCTCCTGCCAGTCAAACCGCCATAGCGTCGTCAAATCTTCATGGAATTTCATGATTCAACTTGCTGCTGATAGACGACAGCAACACGCTCCAGATCCAATTTACACATCACCGTTTGATTCAGTGACCAGATCGTTATCAGTATTTGAAGCCGTCTGACAGAAATCCGACTGTGCTCTCTATCTCTCATTATAGGCACATCTAAGCCTATTGTGATTATAACAAGTGGTATCAGAGCCCCTTGGAGCTGTCTCGACCATGCCTAGGCCTGAGGAAGGGGGTGGCAGAGGTGTTGGAGGCAGAGAAGACGCCCAAGCACAAGGTCAACACCAAGATCCACCCGTTGCTCCGGTGCAACCTAGCCTTGGACCCTCTAGGGATGAGCCTAGAGTGTTTGGCCTTGACAAGTTCAACGGTGACAACTTTGCTGAGTGGTCCTTCAAGATGGAGAACATCTTTGACCATTATGATCTGCTGGAGGTGATGGAAGGAACGGAGAAGCGCCCCGAGAACGACCCGGAGAAGAGCCCGTGGGTGCGGAAGAGCGCACAAGGCTACCTTCTACTTGGGCAAGCGTTGGGGAGCAGCCAAATCCGTCACATCAAGCCTTTTCAGCGTGAACCAGCAAAGGGACCAAAGGTATGGGCTGCTCTCAAGGGTGTACACGCTCCTGCAACAGCGGCGGTGGCTGTGGTTTTGGAGCGGCAAATGGCGGCACTTCGAATTGACGAAGGCGAACCGGTGGAGGAAGGAGTGCAGAAATTCTTCGACTTGTTGACACGGCTCGAAGGAGCTGACCTGAACTACAGTGACCTTCAAAAGAAGACCAAGCTGCTAGCCTTACTTCCGGACTCATGGTCCTCACTCATCATCAACCTTAATCGAGATCTGCCCCGTCTCTCACTCGAAGATGTGAAGCGGGAAATCTTACAAGAAGATTTCCGCCGTCGCGAATTGGCGGGTCCCGATGGTGCCGGAGTTGCAAGCATGGGCCGTGGGCACGGCTGTGGAAGGGGCAGAGGGCGAGGAGGCAGATTTGGCAGCAGCAACTTCAATGGAGGCCGTGGTAATGGAGGATATGGCAGCAACAACAATGGCTACGGGCGTGGGCGCGGTCGATTTGATGGCGAATGCCACTTTTGCCACAAGACCGGCCACATGTGGAGAGATTGCTTCAAACTACCTGATGGCTGGACCCCCTCTCAAGGCCAAGAGGGCAGAGGAGCAAGGGGAGGAAGAGGCAGAGGTCGTGGAGGCCGTGGTGGCCGTGGAGGCGAAGCGGCAAGCATGAAAGGTGGAGACTACGACAAGGACTCGAGTGAAGATCGATACCCGGGCCAATTCTTCTTTGTCTCCACGCAAGCGGCAGCTGCAGCAGGAGGTGTGGAAGGCTTTGAGGAGCCAGCTACTGTGGGAAAGGTCACCCTTCACTCTCTGGACTTTTGGGTGATCGATAGCGGCGCCACCTATAGCATGACACCTCGTGCGGACTTGCTCACCGAACTCGAACCGTCGCCGGTCAAGCATGTTACATCGGCTTTGGGACAGCGAGCAGAGGTGAAAGGCATGGGCAAGGCCATGTTCAAGGGTGCTGATGGGAAGATGGTGGGCCTCAAGAACGTGCTTTTGGTGCCCAACCTAGCAGCCAACCTGATTTCCGTTCGGCGTTTGCAAAAGGCCGGCATGGACACATCTTCCAAGGGTTCGAAAACATATACCGCGAGGCTTGGTGAGCGGAAGCTTTGGGACCTTCATGAGGACAGGGACATCTACAATGAGATGTGGCAAATCCCAGTGGTCCCCATGCCTAAGGAGAGGCAAGTGGCAGCAAGCGTCAGCACCAAGAGTGAAGCGGATGGTGGCGGTGATCACGGAAAACAAAGTGACACCAAGAGTGACTCGAAGGAGTGCAATCTTGGAGAGACCAGCAAGGCGTGTGAACCCAAGGAGAGTAGTGCAGCAGCCAAAGGTGGTGGAAATGAGGAGGGGAAACCTAAGATCAGCAAAGCAGCAGCGGCGAAGGAGAAAGGAGAGAGCTTGTGGGACACGATTGCGAGTGCCGCTTTCTCCAACCCGACTTCCGCTACGGGAGAGTGTGATTGGCTGACCTTGCATCGGCGAATGGGGCATGTGGCATTGCCCATTTTGCAGCAGATAGTTAAGCAAGAGATGGTCAGTGGGATACATGTCAAGGGGGAGCCCAATGAGGTGCTTGGCTGTCCAACATGCATGCAAGCCAAGTTCACCCGCTACCCGTTCCATAGCTCGGAGACAACGGCGAAGGCACCACTTGATGAGGTGGTGATGGATGTGGTGGGCCCCTTGAAGCTTGGAGCTGCTGGAGCTGCGTACTTCCTCACCATTGTGGACGTCTACACTCGCATGACTTGGGTGTATGTGCTGCCGAAGAAGAGTGACGTAGCTGAAACGGTGAAGACCGATTGGTTGCCGATGGTGGAGCGGCAACAAGACCGACTTGTGAAGGCGATTCGCACTGACCGTGGGGGAGAGTTCCTGAGCAAGGATTTCTCAACTTGGCTGAAGAAGCAGGGCATAAGGCACTCTCTTACCATGCCCTACTCTCCTGCAATGAACGGCATCGCCGAGCGTGCGAATCGGACACTCACGGAGACGGCTCGGGGACTTCTCATTGAAGCCGGTCTTCCCAATTACTTTTGGCCGGATGCGGTGCGGCATGCTTGTGTGGCCAAGAACAGAGCCTTGACTCATGTGGGAGAAGACAAATGGGTGCCCTATGTGGAGTGGATTGGAAGGAAGCCGAAGGTGGATATGCTTCGGGTGTTCGGGTGCATGTGCATGGCACTTGTGCCTAAGAAACTTCGGCACAACAAACTTGATGCCAAGGCAACATGGGCCGTGCACCTGGGCATGGCTCAAAACAGCAAGGGATGGCTTCTTTGGGACCCATTTACCAAGAAGTTCTTGGTGAGCAGAGATTGCAAGTTCATGGAGAACTTACCGTACAAGGAGTGGAAGGCGGAGAACCAAGTGAAGATTGGTATGCGGCTTGGAGAGGTGAAGAGTAACGGCTTGGAGCATGTGGAGCTGCCCTTGGAGCTGAGTAGCAGCAGCACAGTCACGAGGCAATCTCCTCAAATGAATGGGGATGAAGAGGAGGAGGAGGTGCAGCAAGGTGATGAGCGTGCACCGTCACTTCCGCCTCGTGCTACAAGTGCTCGTGGGAACCGACCAGATTTACCGCAACGCCATGAGAGCATTCAAGTCCCTGCAGCAGAGGAGGAAGGAAGGGGGAGAAGGAGAACTCAGCCCCCTAATAGGTTGAGCTATGATCGGCTTGGAAGACCAGCCAACTCAACCTTGACCGGTTCGGCTCTCATGCTAGGCGATGATGCGGAAGATGAAAGCGAGGAGTGCGCCTTTGCCTTCTTCTCTCCGGTGGAGATGCCGGGGGAGCCTACAAATCCCAAGGAGGCTTGGGAGGGCCCCAATGGGAAGGAGTGGAAGAAGGCCTCAGATGAAGAAATGGGGAGCATCATCGAGAACGACACGTTTGACTTGGTGAACCTACCTCCGGGGCGTAAGGCGATCTCTTCCAAGTGGCTCTTCAAGCGCAAGACCGACGCCGACGGCAACATCGAGCGCTACAAGAGCAGACTTGTAGCGAAGGGGTATCAGCAGCAAGAGAAGAAGGACTACAATGAAGTGTATGCTCCTGTGGTGAAGGGTACAACCCTTCGAACCCTCTTCGCCGCGGCGGCCATCAAAGGATGGGTGGTGAAGCAAATGGATATCGTAACGGCCTTCCTCAACGGCGTTTTGGAGGAAGAAACCTACATGGAGCAGCCAGAGGGGTACAATGATGGGAGTGGCAGAGTGTGGAAGCTGAAGAAAGCACTCTATGGCCTCAAGCAAGCCCCTAGGCAATGGTACATCAAGCTGCGGGAAGTTTTGGAGGCGATCGGCTTCACTCCCTCAACGGCCGATCAATCGTTGTTCATGCTTGGCGAGGGGGAGCAGAGGAGCTTCATGGTGGTTTATGTGGATGACATCCTTATATTCTCACCCTCCTCTGACCTTGTGAAGGAGGTGATGCTGAAGCTTCAAGACAAGTTCAAGTGCAAGACCCTTGGTGACGTCAACTACTACCTTGGGCTTCACATTGAGCGAGATGTGGAGAAGCGGTGGATGCGAGTGCATCAAAAGAAGTACTTGGAGGCCTTGGCTGCAAACTTTGGGAAGAGTGAAGGTCATGTGGCTACTCCTCTTCCCTCAGGGTTCAAGTGTGTGAAAGGACCAGCGGAGGAAAGTGTTGGTGAAGAGGAGAGGCGCCGTTTTCACTCCTTGGTGGGCAGCCTCATGTATGCGGCCGTTCACACAAGGCCGGATGCAGCCTTTGCTACCGGGCAGCTGGCTAGGGTTGTCCAATGCCCTAATGAAGAGCAGGTAGCAGCTGGAGAGAGAGTGGCCAAGTACCTTGGCCAAACAGCAACTGTTGGACTGCAATACTCCGCGGCGGCACAAAGGCGTCAAAAGGGTGCGGATGGAGTCGAACCCGGGAGGCTCTTTCTCACCGCCTTCTCTGATGCATCTTGGGCATCAGAACCAGAGGACATGACAAGTGTGGGAGGCTTCATCTGCTGTGTTGGTGGAGGGCCAACAGCTTGGGAGAGCAAGAAGCAAGTGGACCAAGCATTGAGCTCGGTGGAGTCCGAGTACATGGCACTCTTCCGTGCCATAAGAGAGGTTGTGTGGCAGCGGCGTTTGCTAGCTGAATTGGGGGAGGAGCAGCAAGGACCTACCCCACTCTACTGTGATAGCCAGGGTGCTATTGCATTGGCTAAGAACCCCGTTCTTCATGGCCTTACCAAGCACATGAAGGTGAAGTGGCATTGGGTGAGGAGCATGGTAACCGCGGGTGAAGTGGAGTTGCACTACGTGAAGACGACGGCGCAGCCAGCTGATATGATGACCAAGAGGCTGGTTGAGCAGCAGCATTGGAAGTGTTGCAAGCTTGCTGGGATGGCTCTGAACTAAGGGGAGCAGATTCTAAGGCCAACAATCCGAGGGGGAGTTTGTTGGTGCAACCCTATGGCTTGCACTCGGCTTGTCGTCCTTGTTTGTGTGTGTGCATGCATGGCATGGAATGAATTGTGAGTCTATGTCATTGCTATCCAGTGCTTGTGTGTGTGTTTGAATGGTGTATCACAATGTGGTTTGTGTCGGTCAAGACATTAGCGAGTTTTTACAACTCGCATGTCAAGTCGTCGTTTGTGTGTCGCATGTGTTTTTTCTATTTTGTCGAGTGTGAAGTGTCGATCGTGTCGCAGGTGTGTGCAGCAAGCCCCCATCAACTCAAGAAGAATTTATCTTGCAGATCCAGGAACAAGAGCTCAAGATTTCAAGCCCAAGGGACGCGGATAAATATTAAATAGTGAAAATAGTAACGTTACTTCGTGTAGTGTTACATTTCACTTGGTGTAGCCCCTTGGAGGGTTGGTTTCGAGACTCTTCATGGTTGGGGACCCTGTGGTGGTGTACCACCAACCTGGACCTCGGCTCTTGGGGTATGTAGAGGCTGGGAACCATCTCCCTCTCGAACTCTTCTTGCTAAGTTTGTACTCCTAAGACTATTGTGGCTGCTATACCTCCTGCCAGTCAAACCGCCATAGCGTCGTCAAATCTTCATGGAATTTCATGATTCAACTTGCTGCTGATAGACGACAGCAACACGCTCCAGATCCAATTTACACATCACCGTTTGATTCAGTGACCAGATCGTTATCAGTATTTGAAGCCGTCTGACAGAAATCCGACTGTGCTCTCTATCTCTCATTATAGGCACATCTAAGCCTATTGTGATTATAACAAGTGGTATCAGAGCCCCTTGGAGCTGTCTCGACCATGCCTAGGCCTGAGGAAGGGGGTGGCAGAGGTGTTGGAGGCAGAGAAGACGCCCAAGCACAAGGTCAACACCAAGATCCACCCGTTGCTCCGGTGCAACCTAGCCTTGGACCCTCTAGGGATGAGCCTAGAGTGTTTGGCCTTGACAAGTTCAACGGTGACAACTTTGCTGAGTGGTCCTTCAAGATGGAGAACATCTTTGACCATTATGATCTGCTGGAGGTGATGGAAGGAACGGAGAAGCACCCCGAGAACGACCCGGAGAAGAGCCCGTGGGTGCGGAAGAGCGCACAAGGCTACCTTCTACTTGGGCAAGCGTTGGGGAGCAGCCAAATCCGTCACATCAAGCCTTTTCAGCGTGAACCAGCAAAGGGACCAAAGGCATGGGCTGCTCTCAAGGGTGTACACGCTCCTGCAACAGCGGCGGTGGCTGTGGTTTTGGAGCGGCAAATGGCGGCACTTCGAATTGACGAAGGCGAACCGGTGGAGGAAGGAGTGCAGAAATTCTTCGACTTGTTGACACGGCTCGAAGGAGCTGACCTGAACTACAGTGACCTTCAAAAGAAGACCAAGCTGCTAGCCTTACTTCCGGACTCATGGTCCTCGCTCATCATCAACCTTAATCGAGATCTGCCCCGTCTCTCACTCGAAGATGTGAAGCGGGAAATCTTACAAGAAGATTTCCGCCGTCGCGAATTGGCGGGTCCCGATGGTGCCGGAGTTGCAAGCATGGGCCGTGGGCACGGCCGTGGAAGGGGCAGAGGGCGAGGAGGCAGATTTGGCAGCAGCAACTTCAATGGAGGCCGTGGTAATGGAGGATATGGCAGCAACAACAATGGCTACGGGCGTGGGCGCGGTCGATTTGATGGCGAATGCCACTTTTGCCACAAGACCGGCCACATGTGGAGAGATTGCTTCAAACTACCTGATGGCTGGACCCCCTCTCAAGGCCAAGAGGGCAGAGGAGCAAGGGGAGGAAGAGGCAGAGGTCGTGGAGGCCGTGGTGGCCGTGGAGGCGAAGCGGCAAGCATGAAAGGTGGAGACTACGACAAGGACTCGAGTGAAGATCGATACCCGGGCCAATTCTTCTTTGTCTCCACGCAAGCGGCAGCTGCAGCAGGAGGTGTGGAAGGCTTTGAGGAGCCAGCTACTGTGGGAAAGGTCACCCTTCACTCTCTGGACTTTTGGGTGATCGATAGCGGCGCCACCTATAGCATGACACCTCGTGCGGACTTGCTCACCGAACTCGAACCGTCGCCGGTCAAGCATGTTACATCGGCTTTGGGACAGCGAGCAGAGGTGAAAGGCATGGGCAAGGCCATGTTCAAGGGTGCTGATGGGAAGATGGTGGGCCTCAAGAACGTGCTTTTGGTGCCCAACCTAGCAGCCAACCTGATTTCCGTTCGGCGTTTGCAAAAGGCCGGCATGGACACATCTTCCAAGGGTTCGAAAACATATACCGCGAGGCTTGGTGAGCGGAAGCTTTGGGACCTTCATGAGGACAGGGACATCTACAATGAGATGTGGCAAATCCCAGTGGTCCCCATGCCTAAGGAGAGGCAAGTGGCAGCAAGCGTCAGCACCAAGAGTGAAGCGGATGGTGGCGGTGATCACGGAAAACAAAGTGACACCAAGAGTGACTCGAAGGAGTGCAATCTTGGAGAGACCAGCAAGGCGTGTGAACCCAAGGAGAGTAGTGCAGCAGCCAAAGGTGGTGGAAATGAGGAGGGGAAACCTAAGATCAGCAAAGCAGCAGCGGCGAAGGAGAAAGGAGAGAGCTTGTGGGACACGATTGCGAGTGCCGCTTTCTCCAACCCGACTTCCGCTACGGGAGAGTGTGATTGGCTGACCTTGCATCGGCGAATGGGGCATGTGGCATTGCCCATTTTGCAGCAGATAGTTAAGCAAGAGATGGTCAGTGGGATACGTGTCAAGGGGGAGCCCAATGAGGTGCTTGGCTGTCCAACATGCATGCAAGCCAAGTTCACCCGCTACCCGTTCCATAGCTCGGAGACAACGGCGAAGGCACCACTTGATGAGGTGGTGATGGATGTGGTGGGCCCCTTGAAGCTTGGAGCTGCTGGAGCTGCGTACTTCCTCACCATTGTGGACGTCTACACTCGCATGACTTGGGTGTATGTGCTGCCAAAGAAGAGTGACGTAGCTGAAACGGTGAAGACCGATTGGTTGCCGATGGTGGAGCGGCAACAAGACCGACTTGTGAAGGCGATTCGCACTGACCGTGGGGGAGAGTTCCTGAGCAAGGATTTCTCAACTTGGCTGAAGAAGCAGGGCATAAGGCACTCTCTTACCATGCCCTACTCTCCTGCAATGAACGGCATCGCCGAGCGTGCGAATCGGACACTCACGGAGACGGCTCGGGGACTTCTCATTGAAGCCGGTCTTCCCAATTACTTTTGGCCGGATGCGGTGCGGCATGCTTGTGTGGCCAAGAACAGAGCCTTGACTCATGTGGGAGAAGACAAATGGGTGCCCTATGTGGAGTGGATTGGAAGGAAGCCGAAGGTGGATATGCTTCGGGTGTTCGGGTGCATGTGCATGGCACTTGTGCCTAAGAAACTTCGGCACAACAAACTTGATGCCAAGGCAACATGGGCCGTGCACCTGGGCATGGCTCAAAACAGCAAGGGATGGCTTCTTTGGGACCCATTTACCAAGAAGTTCTTGGTGAGCAGAGATTGCAAGTTCATGGAGAACTTACCGTACAAGGAGTGGAAGGCGGAGAACCAAGCGAAGATTGGTATGCGGCTTGGAGAGGTGAAGAGTAACGGCTTGGAGCATGTGGAGCTGCCCTTGGAGCTGAGTAGCAGCAGCACAGTCACGAGGCAATCTCCTCAAATGAATGGGGATGAAGAGGAGGAGGAGGTGCAGCAAGGTGATGAGCGTGCACCGTCACTTCCGCCTCGTGCTACAAGTGCTCGTGGGAACCGACCAGATTTACCGCAATGCCATGAGAGCATTCAAGTCCCTGCAGCAGAGGAGGAAGGAAGGGGGAGAAGGAGAACTCAGCCCCCTAATAGGTTGAGCTATGATCGGCTTGGAAGACCAGCCAACTCAACCTTGACCGGTTCGGCTCTCATGCTAGGCGATGATGCGGAAGATGAAAGCGAGGAGTGCGCCTTTGCCTTCTTCTCTCCGGTGGAGATGCCGGGGGAGCCTACAAATCCCAAGGAGGCTTGGGAGGGCCCCAATGGGAAGGAGTGGAAGAAGGCCTCAGATGAAGAAATGGGGAGCATCATCGAGAACGACACGTTTGACTTGGTGAACCTACCTCCGGGGCGTAAGGCGATCTCTTCCAAGTGGCTCTTCAAGCGCAAGACCGACGCCGACGGCAACATCGAGCGCTACAAGAGCAGACTTGTAGCCAAGGGGTATCAGCAGCAAGAGAAGAAGGACTACAATGAAGTGTATGCTCCTGTGGTGAAGGGTACAACCCTTCGAACCCTCTTCGCCGCGGCGGCCATCAAAGGATGGGTGGTGAAGCAAATGGATATCGTAACGGCCTTCCTCAACGGCGTTTTGGAGGAAGAAACCTACATGGAGCAGCCAGAGGGGTACAATGATGGGAGTGGCAGAGTGTGGAAGCTGAAGAAAGCACTCTATGGCCTCAAGCAAGCCCCTAGGCAATGGTACATCAAGCTGCGGGAAGTTTTGGAGGCGATCGGCTTCACTCCCTCAACGGCCGATCAATCGTTGTTCATGCTTGGCGAGGGGGAGCAGAGGAGCTTCATGGTGGTTTATGTGGATGACATCCTTATATTCTCACCCTCCTCTGACCTTGTGAAGGAGGTGATGCTGAAGCTTCAAGACAAGTTCAAGTGCAAGACCCTTGGTGACGTCAACTACTACCTTGGGCTTCACATTGAGCGAGATGTGGAGAAGCGGTGGATGCGAGTGCATCAAAAGAAGTACTTGGAGGCCTTGGCTGCAAACTTTGGGAAGAGTGAAGGTCATGTGGCTACTCCTCTTCCCTCAGGGTTCAAGTGTGTGAAAGGACCAGCGGAGGAAAGTGTTGGTGAAGAGGAGAGGCGCCGTTTTCACTCCTTGGTGGGCAGCCTCATGTATGCGGCCGTTCACACAAGGCCGGATGCAGCCTTTGCTACCGGGCAGCTGGCTAGGGTTGTCCAATGCCCTAATGAAGAGCAGGTAGCAGCTGGAGAGAGAGTGGCCAAGTACCTTGGCCAAACAGCAACTGTTGGACTGCAATACTCCGCGGCGGCACAAAGGCGTCAAAAGGGTGCGGATGGAGTCGAACCCGGGAGGCTCTTTCTCACCGCCTTCTCTGATGCATCTTGGGCATCAGAACCAGAGGACATGACAAGTGTGGGAGGCTTCATCTGCTGTGTTGGTGGAGGGCCAACAGCTTGGGAGAGCAAGAAGCAAGTGGACCAAGCATTGAGCTCGGTGGAGTCCGAGTACATGGCACTCTTCCGTGCCATAAGAGAGGTTGTGTGGCAGCGGCGTTTGCTAGCTGAATTGGGGGAGGAGCAGCAAGGACCTACCCCACTCTACTGTGATAGCCAGGGTGCTATTGCATTGGCTAAGAACCCCGTTCTTCATGGCCTTACCAAGCACATGAAGGTGAAGTGGCATTGGGTGAGGAGCATGGTAACCGCGGGTGAAGTGGAGTTGCACTACGTGAAGACGACGGCGCAGCCAGCTGATATGATGACCAAGAGGCTGGTTGAGCAGCAGCATTGGAAGTGTTGCAAGCTTGCTGGGATGGCTCTGAACTAAGGGGAGCAGATTCTAAGGCCAACAATCCGAGGGGGAGTTTGTTGGTGCAACCCTATGGCTTGCACTCGGCTTGTCGTCCTTGTTTGTGTGTGTGCATGCATGGCATGGAATGAATTGTGAGTCTATGTCATTGCTATCCAGTGCTTGTGTGTGTGTTTGAATGGTGTATCACAATGTGGTTTGTGTCGGTCAAGACATTAGCAAGTTTTTACAACTCGCATGTCAAGTCGTCGTTTGTGTGTCGCATGTGTTTTTTCTATTTTGTCGAGTGTGAAGTGTCGATCGTGTCGCAGGTGTGTGCAGCAAGCCCCCATCAACTCAAGAAGAATTTATCTTGCAGATCCAGGAACAAGAGCTCAAGATTTCAAGCCCAAGGGACGCGGATAAATATTAAATAGTGAAAATAGTAACGTTACTTCGTGTAGTGTTACATTTCACTTGGTGTAGCCCCTTGGAGGGTTGGTTTCGAGACTCTTCATGGTTGGGGACCCTGTGGTGGTGTACCACCAACCTGGACCTCGGCTCTTGGGGTATGTAGAGGCTGGGAACCATCTCCCTCTCGAACTCTTCTTGCTAAGTTTGTACTCCTAAGACTATTGTGGCTGCTATACCTCCTGCCAGTCAAACCGCCATAGCGTCGTCAAATCTTCATGGAATTTCATGATTCAACTTGCTGCTGATAGACGACAGCAACACGCTCCAGATGCAATTTACACATCACCGTTTGATTCAGTGACCAGATCGTTATCAGTATTTGAAGCCGTCTGACGGAAATCCGACTGTGCTCTCTATCTCTCATTATAGGCACATCTAAGCCTATTGTGATTATAACAAGTGGTATCAGAGCCCCTTGGAGCTGTCTCGACCATGCCTAGGCCTGAGGAAGGGGGTGGCAGAGGTGTTGGAGGCAGAGAAGACGCCCAAGCACAAGGTCAACACCAAGATCCACCCGTTGCTCCGGTGCAACCTAGCCTTGGACCCTCTAGGGATGAGCCTAGAGTGTTTGGCCTTGACAAGTTCAACGGTGACAACTTTGCTGAGTGGTCCTTCAAGATGGAGAACATCTTTGACCACTATGATCTGCTGGAGGTGATGGAAGGAACGGAGAAGCGCCCCGAGAACGACCCGGAGAAGAGCCCGTGGGTGCGGAAGAGCGCACAAGGCTACCTTCTACTTGGGCAAGCGTTGGGGAGCAGCCAAATCCGTCACATCAAGCCTTTTCAGCGTGAACCAGCAAAGGGACCAAAGGCATGGGCTGCTCTCAAGGGTGTACACGCTCCTGCAACAGCGGCGGTGGCTGTGGTTTTGGAGCGGCAAATGGCGGCACTTCGAATTGACGAAGGCGAACCGGTGGAGGAAGGAGTGCAGAAATTCTTCGACTTGTTGACACGGCTCGAAGGAGCTGACCTGAACTACAGTGACCTTCAAAAGAAGACCAAGCTGCTAGCCTTACTTCCGGACTCATGGTCCTCGCTCATCATCAACCTTAATCGAGATCTGCCCCGTCTCTCACTCGAAGATGTGAAGCGGGAAATCTTACAAGAAGATTTCCGCCGTCGCGAATTGGCGGGTCCCGATGGTGCCGGAGTTGCAAGCATGGGCCGTGGGCACGGCCGTGGAAGGGGCAGAGGGCGAGGAGGCAGATTTGGCAGCAGCAACTTCAATGGAGGCCGTGGTAATGGAGGATATGGCAGCAACAACAATGGCTACGGGCGTGGGCGCGGTCGATTTGATGGCGAATGCCACTTTTGCCACAAGACCGGCCACATGTGGAGAGATTGCTTCAAACTACCTGATGGCTGGACCCCATCTCAAGGCCAAGAGGGCAGAGGAGCAAGGGGAGGAAGAGGCAGAGGTCGTGGAGGCCGTGGTGGCCGTGGAGGCGAAGCGGCAAGCATGAAAGGTGGAGACTACGACAAGGACTCGAGTGAAGATCGATACCCGGGCCAATTCTTCTTTGTCTCCACGCAAGCGGCAGCTGCAGCAGGAGGTGTGGAAGGCTTTGAGGAGCCAGCTACTGTGGGAAAGGTCACCCTTCACTCTCTGGACTTTTGGGTGATCGATAGCGGCGCCACCTATAGCATGACACCTCGTGCGGACTTGCTCACCGAACTCGAACCGTCGCCGGTCAAGCATGTTACATCGGCTTTGGGACAGCGAGCAGAGGTGAAAGGCATGGGCAAGGCCATGTTCAAGGGTGCTGATGGGAAGATGGTGGGCCTCAAGAACGTGCTTTTGGTGCCCAACCTAGCAGCCAACCTGATTTCCGTTCGGCGTTTGCAAAAGGCCGGCATGGACACATCTTCCAAGGGTTCGAAAACATATACCGCGAGGCTTGGTGAGCGGAAGCTTTGGGACCTTCATGAGGACAGGGACATCTACAATGAGATGTGGCAAATCCCAGTGGTCCCCATGCCTAAGGAGAGGCAAGTGGCAGCAAGCGTCAGCACCAAGAGTGAAGCGGATGGTGGCGGTGATCACGGAAAACAAAGTGACACCAAGAGTGACTCGAAGGAGTGCAATCTTGGAGAGACCAGCAAGGCGTGTGAACCCAAGGAGAGTAGTGCAGCAGCCAAAGGTGGTGGAAATGAGGAGGGGAAACCTAAGATCAGCAAAGCAGCAGCGGCGAAGGAGAAAGGAGAGAGCTTGTGGGACACGATTGCGAGTGCCGCTTTCTCCAACCCGACTTCCGCTACGGGAGAGTGTGATTGGCTGACCTTGCATCGGCGAATGGGGCATGTGGCATTGCCCATTTTGCAGCAGATAGTTAAGCAAGAGATGGTCAGTGGGATACGTGTCAAGGGGGAGCCCAATGAGGTGCTTGGCTGTCCAACATGCATGCAAGCCAAGTTCACCCGCTACCCGTTCCATAGCTCGGAGACAACGGCGAAGGCACCACTTGATGAGGTGGTGATGGATGTGGTGGGCCCCTTGAAGCTTGGAGCTGCTGGAGCTGCGTACTTCCTCACCATTGTGGACGTCTACACTCGCATGACTTGGGTGTATGTGCTGCCGAAGAAGAGTGACGTAGCTGAAACGGTGAAGACCGATTGGTTGCCGATGGTGGAGCGGCAACAAGACCGACTTGTGAAGGCGATTCGCACTGACCGTGGGGGAGAGTTCCTGAGCAAGGATTTCTCAACTTGGCTGAAGAAGCAGGGCATAAGGCACTCTCTTACCATGCCCTACTCTCCTGCAATGAACGGCATCGCCGAGCGTGCGAATCGGACACTCACGGAGACGGCTCGGGGACTTCTCATTGAAGCCGGTCTTCCCAATTACTTTTGGCCGGATGCGGTGCGGCATGCTTGTGTGGCCAAGAACAGAGCCTTGACTCATGTGGGAGAAGACAAATGGGTGCCCTATGTGGAGTGGATTGGAAGGAAGCCGAAGGTGGATATGCTTCGGGTGTTCGGGTGCATGTGCATGGCACTTGTGCCTAAGAAACTTCGGCACAACAAACTTGATGCCAAGGCAACATGGGCCGTGCACCTGGGCATGGCTCAAAACAGCAAGGGATGGCTTCTTTGGGACCCATTTACCAAGAAGTTCTTGGTGAGCAGAGATTGCAAGTTCATGGAGAACTTACCGTACAAGGAGTGGAAGGCGGAGAACCAAGCGAAGATTGGTATGCGGCTTGGAGAGGTGAAGAGTAACGGCTTGGAGCATGTGGAGCTGCCCTTGGAGCTGAGTAGCAGCAGCACAGTCACGAGGCAATCTCCTCAAATGAATGGGGATGAAGAGGAGGAGGAGGTGCAGCAAGGTGATGAGCGTGCACCGTCACTTCCGCCTCGTGCTACAAGTGCTCGTGGGAACCGACCAGATTTACCGCAACGCCATGAGAGCATTCAAGTCCCTGCAGCAGAGGAGGAAGGAAGGGGGAGAAGGAGAACTCAGCCCCCTAATAGGTTGAGCTATGATCGGCTTGGAAGACCAGCCAACTCAACCTTGACCGGTTCGGCTCTCATGCTAGGCGATGATGCGGAAGATGAAAGCGAGGAGTGCGCCTTTGCCTTCTTCTCTCCGGTGGAGATGCCGGGGGAGCCTACAAATCCCAAGGAGGCTTGGGAGGGCCCCAATGGGAAGGAGTGGAAGAAGGCCTCAGATGAAGAAATGGGGAGCATCATCGAGAACGACACGTTTGACTTGGTGAACCTACCTCCGGGGCGTAAGGCGATCTCTTCCAAGTGGCTCTTCAAGCGCAAGACCGACGCCGACGGCAACATCGAGCGCTACAAGAGCAGACTTGTAGCCAAGGGGTATCAGCAGCAAGAGAAGAAGGACTACAATGAAGTGTATGCTCCTGTGGTGAAGGGTACAACCCTTCGAACCCTCTTCGCCGCGGCGGCCATCAAAGGATGGGTGGTGAAGCAAATGGATATCGTAACGGCCTTCCTCAACGGCGTTTTGGAGGAAGAAACCTACATGGAGCAGCCAGAGGGGTACAATGATGGGAGTGGCAGAGTGTGGAAGCTGAAGAAAGCACTCTATGGCCTCAAGCAAGCCCCTAGGCAATGGTACATCAAGCTGCGGGAAGTTTTGGAGGCGATCGGCTTCACTCCCTCAACGGCCGATCAATCGTTGTTCATGCTTGGCGAGGGGGAGCAGAGGAGCTTCATGGTGGTTTATGTGGATGACATCCTTATATTCTCACCCTCCTCTGACCTTGTGAAGGAGGTGATGCTGAAGCTTCAAGACAAGTTCAAGTGCAAGACCCTTGGTGACGTCAACTACTACCTTGGGCTTCACATTGAGCGAGATGTGGAGAAGCGGTGGATGCGAGTGCATCAAAAGAAGTACTTGGAGGCCTTGGCTGCAAACTTTGGGAAGAGTGAAGGTCATGTGGCTACTCCTCTTCCCTCAGGGTTCAAGTGTGTGAAAGGACCAGCGGAGGAAAGTGTTGGTGAAGAGGAGAGGCGCCGTTTTCACTCCTTGGTGGGCAGCCTCATGTATGCGGCCGTTCACACAAGGCCGGATGCAGCCTTTGCTACCGGGCAGCTGGCTAGGGTTGTCCAATGCCCTAATGAAGAGCAGGTAGCAGCTGGAGAGAGAGTGGCCAAGTACCTTGGCCAAACAGCAACTGTTGGACTGCAATACTCCGCGGCGGCACAAAGGCGTCAAAAGGGTGCGGATGGAGTCGAACCCGGGAGGCTCTTTCTCACCGCCTTCTCTGATGCATCTTGGGCATCAGAACCAGAGGACATGACAAGTGTGGGAGGCTTCATCTGCTGTGTTGGTGGAGGGCCAACAGCTTGGGAGAGCAAGAAGCAAGTGGACCAAGCATTGAGCTCGGTGGAGTCCGAGTACATGGCACTCTTCCGTGCCATAAGAGAGGTTGTGTGGCAGCGGCGTTTGCTAGCTGAATTGGGGGAGGAGCAGCAAGGACCTACCCCACTCTACTGTGATAGCCAGGGTGCTATTGCATTGGCTAAGAACCCCGTTCTTCATGGCCTTACCAAGCACATGAAGGTGAAGTGGCATTGGGTGAGGAGCATGGTAACCGCGGGTGAAGTGGAGTTGCACTACGTGAAGACGACGGCGCAGCCAGCTGATATGATGACCAAGAGGCTGGTTGAGCAGCAGCATTGGAAGTGTTGCAAGCTTGCTGGGATGGCTCTGAACTAAGGGGAGCAGATTCTAAGGCCAACAATCCGAGGGGGAGTTTGTTGGTGCAACCCTATGGCTTGCACTCGGCTTGTCGTCCTTGTTTGTGTGTGTGCATGCATGGCATGGAATGAATTGTGAGTCTATGTCATTGCTATCCAGTGCTTGTGTGTGTGTTTGAATGGTGTATCACAATGTGGTTTGTGTCGGTCAAGACATTAGCGAGTTTTTACAACTCGCATGTCAAGTCGTCGTTTGTGTGTCGCATGTGTTTTTTCTATTTTGTCGAGTGTGAAGTGTCGATCGTGTCGCAGGTGTGTGCAGCAAGCCCCCATCAACTCAAGAAGAATTTATCTTGCAGATCCAGGAACAAGAGCTCAAGATTTCAAGCCCAAGGGACGCGGATAAATATTAAATAGTGAAAATAGTAACGTTACTTCGTGTAGTGTTACATTTCACTTGGTGTAGCCCCTTGGAGGGTTGGTTTCGAGACTCTTCATGGTTGGGGACCCTGTGGTGGTGTACCACCAACCTGGACCTCGGCTCTTGGGGTATGTAGAGGCTGGGAACCATCTCCCTCTCGAACTCTTCTTGCTAAGTTTGTACTCCTAAGACTATTGTGGCTGCTATACCTCCTGCCAGTCAAACCGCCATAGCGTCGTCAAATCTTCATGGAATTTCATGATTCAACTTGCTGCTGATAGATGACAGCAACACGCTCCAGATACAATTTACATATCACCGTTTGATTCAGTGACCAGATCGTTATCAGTATTTGAAGCCGTCTGACGGAAATCCGACTGTGCTCTCTATCTCTCATTATAGGCACATCTAAGCCTATTGTGATTATAACAAGTGGTATCAGAGCCCCTTGGAGCTGTCTCGACCATGCCTAGGCCTGAGGAAGGGGGTGGCAGAGGTGTTGGAGGCAGAGAAGACGCCCAAGCACAAGGTCAACACCAAGATCCACCCGTTGCTCCGGTGCAACCTAGCCTTGGACCCTCTAGGGATGAGCCTAGAGTGTTTGGCCTTGACAAGTTCAACGGTGACAACTTTGCTGAGTGGTCCTTCAAGATGGAGAACATCTTTGACCACTATGATCTGCTGGAGGTGATGGAAGGAACGGAGAAGCGCCCCGAGAACGACCCGGAGAAGAGCCCGTGGGTGCGGAAGAGCGCACAAGGCTACCTTCTACTTGGGCAAGCGTTGGGGAGCAGCCAAATCCGTCACATCAAGCCTTTTCAGCGTGAACCAGCAAAGGGACCAAAGGCATGGGCTGCTCTCAAGGGTGTACACGCTCCTGCAACAGCGGCGGTGGCTGTGGTTTTGGAGCGGCAAATGGCGGCACTTCGAATTGACGAAGGCGAACCGGTGGAGGAAGGAGTGCAGAAATTCTTCGACTTGTTGACACGGCTCGAAGGAGCTGACCTGAACTACAGTGACCTTCAAAAGAAGACCAAGCTGCTAGCCTTACTTCCGGACTCATGGTCCTCGCTCATCATCAACCTTAATCGAGATCTGCCCCGTCTCTCACTCGAAGATGTGAAGCGGGAAATCTTACAAGAAGATTTCCGCCGTCGCGAATTGGCGGGTCCCGATGGTGCCGGAGTTGCAAGCATGGGCCGTGGGCACGGCCGTGGAAGGGGCAGAGGGCGAGGAGGCAGATTTGGCAGCAGCAACTTCAATGGAGGCCGTGGTAATGGAGGATATGGCAGCAACAACAATGGCTACGGGCGTGGGCGCGGTCGATTTGATGGCGAATGCCACTTTTGCCACAAGACCGGCCACATGTGGAGAGATTGCTTCAAACTACCTGATGGCTGGACCCCATCTCAAGGCCAAGAGGGCAGAGGAGCAAGGGGAGGAAGAGGCAGAGGTCGTGGAGGCCGTGGTGGCCGTGGAGGCGAAGCGGCAAGCATGAAAGGTGGAGACTACGACAAGGACTCGAGTGAAGATCGATACCCGGGCCAATTCTTCTTTGTCTCCACGCAAGCGGCAGCTGCAGCAGGAGGTGTGGAAGGCTTTGAGGAGCCAGCTACTGTGGGAAAGGTCACCCTTCACTCTCTGGACTTTTGGGTGATCGATAGCGGCGCCACCTATAGCATGACACCTCGTGCGGACTTGCTCACCGAACTCGAACCGTCGCCGGTCAAGCATGTTACATCGGCTTTGGGACAGCGAGCAGAGGTGAAAGGCATGGGCAAGGCCATGTTCAAGGGTGCTGATGGGAAGATGGTGGGCCTCAAGAACGTGCTTTTGGTGCCCAACCTAGCAGCCAACCTGATTTCCGTTCGGCGTTTGCAAAAGGCCGGCATGGACACATCTTCCAAGGGTTCGAAAACATATACCGCGAGGCTTGGTGAGCGGAAGCTTTGGGACCTTCATGAGGACAGGGACATCTACAATGAGATGTGGCAAATCCCAGTGGTCCCCATGCCTAAGGAGAGGCAAGTGGCAGCAAGCGTCAGCACCAAGAGTGAAGCGGATGGTGGCGGTGATCACGGAAAACAAAGTGACACCAAGAGTGACTCGAAGGAGTGCAATCTTGGAGAGACCAGCAAGGCGTGTGAACCCAAGGAGAGTAGTGCAGCAGCCAAAGGTGGTGGAAATGAGGAGGGGAAACCTAAGATCAGCAAAGCAGCAGCGGCGAAGGAGAAAGGAGAGAGCTTGTGGGACACGATTGCGAGTGCCGCTTTCTCCAACCCGACTTCCGCTACGGGAGAGTGTGATTGGCTGACCTTGCATCGGCGAATGGGGCATGTGGCATTGCCCATTTTGCAGCAGATAGTTAAGCAAGAGATGGTCAGTGGGATACGTGTCAAGGGGGAGCCCAATGAGGTGCTTGGCTGTCCAACATGCATGCAAGCCAAGTTCACCCGCTACCCGTTCCATAGCTCGGAGACAACGGCGAAGGCACCACTTGATGAGGTGGTGATGGATGTGGTGGGCCCCTTGAAGCTTGGAGCTGCTGGAGCTGCGTACTTCCTCACCATTGTGGACGTCTACACTCGCATGACTTGGGTGTATGTGCTGCCGAAGAAGAGTGACGTAGCTGAAACGGTGAAGACCGATTGGTTGCCGATGGTGGAGCGGCAACAAGACCGACTTGTGAAGGCGATTCGCACTGACCGTGGGGGAGAGTTCCTGAGCAAGGATTTCTCAACTTGGCTGAAGAAGCAGGGCATAAGGCACTCTCTTACCATGCCCTACTCTCCTGCAATGAACGGCATCGCCGAGCGTGCGAATCGGACACTCACGGAGACGGCTCGGGGACTTCTCATTGAAGCCGGTCTTCCCAATTACTTTTGGCCGGATGCGGTGCGGCATGCTTGTGTGGCCAAGAACAGAGCCTTGACTCATGTGGGAGAAGACAAATGGGTGCCCTATGTGGAGTGGATTGGAAGGAAGCCGAAGGTGGATATGCTTCGGGTGTTCGGGTGCATGTGCATGGCACTTGTGCCTAAGAAACTTCGGCACAACAAACTTGATGCCAAGGCAACATGGGCCGTGCACCTGGGCATGGCTCAAAACAGCAAGGGATGGCTTCTTTGGGACCCATTTACCAAGAAGTTCTTGGTGAGCAGAGATTGCAAGTTCATGGAGAACTTACCGTACAAGGAGTGGAAGGCGGAGAACCAAGCGAAGATTGGTATGCGGCTTGGAGAGGTGAAGAGTAACGGCTTGGAGCATGTGGAGCTGCCCTTGGAGCTGAGTAGCAGCAGCACAGTCACGAGGCAATCTCCTCAAATGAATGGGGATGAAGAGGAGGAGGAGGTGCAGCAAGGTGATGAGCGTGCACCATCACTTCCGCCTCGTGCTACAAGTGCTCGTGGGAACCGACCAGATTTACCGCAACGCCATGAGAGCATTCAAGTCCCTGCAGCAGAGGAGGAAGGAAGGGGGAGAAGGAGAACTCAGCCCCCTAATAGGTTGAGCTATGATCGGCTTGGAAGACCAGCCAACTCAACCTTGACGACATCCTCATTTACTCACACGACGTGAAGCAATTTGTCAAACACTTGCGACGCATCTTCGAAATTCTTCGACGAGAACGCTTCTACGTCAAATTATCCAAGAGCAAATTCGCCCTCAAGAAGGTCCAATTCTTGGGACACATGGTGAGCGCTCAAGGAGTTCACGTCGACCTAAAAAAGATCAAAGCCGTATGCAAGTGGAAGACGCCCGAGAATGTGAAGGAGTTACAACAGTTCCTAGGCTTCACTAATCATTACAATAGGTTCGTGCCACAGTATGCGGAAATCCCCGCACCACTTACGAATCTGCTGAAGAAAAGCATGCCCTGCCAATGGAAACCAAAACATTAGGAAGTCGTGGAGCAGCTAAAATAAGCATTTATGTCCGCACCCGTCCTCCTCTTGCCAGATCCCTAGCGTGACTGCGTTGTCGAAGCTGACGCCAGTGACCAAGCAGTGGGAGTAGTCTTGATGCAAGATCAGGGGAATCGATTGCAACCAATTGCCTACCTCAGTAAAAAGCTTCACAAGGCAGAGCTCAGTTACCCAATACACAACAAAGAGGCCCTTGCTAGTATCATCGCCTTCAAAACGTGGAGATGTTACCTCAAAGGATGAAAAACAACCGACTACACCGACCATTGCAGCCTGAAATAACTTGAAAACATAGCGAAATCTCTTCAGGCGGCCGGTCCGGTGGATTGACTTCCTCGAGACACACTTCCACTATGACATTGTGCACAAGCCATGACACAAGAACAACACATATGATCTCAGTTGGCCTACACACGTTGCCGGCATTGACCCCAAAATTCCCTTGGCAGAGAAATGACACCTGCTCCAGTGCGATAGTGACATCGCGTAACAGAAAGGATAAACAAAAATCTGGGTACCCAACTACCCACCTTTGTGCCAGTTACTAATCGAAGAAAACCACGATGTCCTATACGTCGGACCTTTCAGTAGCAACAAGACACTCACCCGTATTGCAAAACACTATTAGTGGCCCCAAATGACAGACAATGTACAGAATTTTGTCACCTCATGCGACACATGTCAGCGGCTGAAAAGCGGTAAGGAGAAAAAAGCAGGATTGCTACAGCCACTTCCTGTCCCAAAACTGCCATGGCAAATGGTTAGCCTGGACTTCATAATCGGGTAACCACCTACCATTCTTGTCATTGAGAATTCTCCAAAATGGGACACTTCATCCAGACACACATGACAGTACGCACCGAGGAGATTGCCCAACTACTCATTCGCTACATCGTCTCACAGCATGGCATTCCAACCACACTCTTTTGCAACCGAGAACCTAAGTTCACCAGCAAGTTTTGGAAAGAACTAAAGAACTAATGTCTCTGCTCGGCACTAAACTCGCCATGTCATCTGCATATCATCCACAGACAGACGGACAAACCGAACACTTCAACCAAATTGTAGAGCAACTCCTCCGCGCAGCATGCAAGGTCGACATCTCCAAATGGGACTTGCATCTACCCGTCCAGGATTTTGCCTACAACAACGCCACCCATGCTGCTACCGGAGAAACGTCATTTTTCATCTGTTACGGCGACAACCTGCTTACGCCACTGAAACCAGCAGCCCAGCCACAGTACAACGTGCACACTATTTCATCACCACCATGCACCAGTATTGGGATCGGACCCACAAGCCCCATTGATATTCAACAGCAACAAAAGCGGCAGGCCAATCGCCACCACAATGACCACACCATCGTCGTGGACGACCGTGTTCTACTCGGCACCCGCAATCTCAACATCAACCATCTCCCATCTGAGCTTTGACATCACTTTTGCGGACCTTTCATCGTTGAAGCCCAGGTCACCCCTGTTCCCTTCTGCTTACGCCTGCCAACTCCCTGGAAGACTCACAATGCCTTCCATGTCCAGCTTCTAAAGCTGTACAGCGATCCCAACACAATCTTCACTATACGCCAACCGCCACTGCCGCCGCCCGTCCTCGTCCATGATAAACCTGAGTACGAGGTCGATTTCGTGTTTGCATATCGTCGTCGTTGATATGGCACCTTGGAATTTCTCATTAGTTGGAAGGGTTATGATCCTTTTGAGGAAATTTGGTCTCTGAATCTGACATGGGTAATGCTCGTCGTCCTCTTCGCGACTACCTTGTCAAGCAGGGTGTTACTTCTACCACCTAGGTTTGAGGGGGGGAAGTGTGAGATTACGATCTCGTTACACTTCTTTCTCTCTATATTTCTTCACTATCTCATTCCCTATTTTATCGTGATTCATTTGGCCTATATCTCATCTTATTTTGGTTCCTATTCCTAATTTTCCATCATCTTTGGTTTATCGTATTATTTTCATTATATCACCGACCAGGCTCTAGATGTATTGGCGTGCCATAGCTAGTGTGATCCTGCCATAATCCCTTGAAGCCAATTGCCTTGCATGGCTATACGCAGAGTGATTCAATTTCTAGAACGGTTTATCCCCTTCGGATAGGATAAACTTGGTTACCTCATGTCCCTTGGAAGTATAAAAGCGCCTTGTATCAATCAATAGTGCAACCTTCTCTTGACCAATTTGATCCTGTGACGGCCGTGCGGTTGACCCAGTTGATCTCGGGGTTGGATATTTTTTTACAGAAATCTCGCTCAAAAATCAAGTCAAGCCCTTATAGTGGTGGTCTCCAGCATAGTGATATGATTTAGAGGTGTGACACTTCTTTGCTGTAGACTGGTAACTTGTTGTCGACCACCATTGTTGCAGAAAATGCAAAAGGCTTGCACTCCTCACGAAGTCAGACGATTGCTGCCTTGTCGCATACGATGTGTGCCATACGTTTTTGTTGTTATCCACTCCTCAGCTGGCAGCTCGCCAAGGCTGCTTGGAGAAAGGCTCTTCTCTAGGGTCCAGAGTCTCCTTGACGAATGTCCGTGTCATCGATGCTAAAGTTGTTGAGCTGGATGTATCTGAAGGAGGGGTTCAAGGCTTTTGCAGCTTCTTGAGCCGCTTCAGCTCCACCGACATCTTCTCTGGGGGTCGGGTAGTCGTTGTGGGTTGGTGTCGGAAGAGGACGTTGACTCCATGGAAAGGTCGGCTCCTTTCCACACTCCTTAATTTTTAAAACAAAGTTCTCCGGTGCTGGTACAATCTCCACACTTTTTTGCTTCTTTTGGAGTCCCTCCCACAAATTTTCCAAGGCTCTAGCACCTAAAGAATCATAAGTTCTTAGTAAAGCATCTTGATAATATAACTTTAACGGAACTTTATAGTTTCTAGGGTCTTCCATGAGTTTTCCCGTCTCGCCAGAGTATTTTTTCGCAGAGTCAGATTTTTTCTCGGCGTTTTTCCTTGGCAAAGACTGGTCATGGGGTGGAGATTATTCCCCAACATTTCCTCATGCTCGTGTCGAAACCCCTTCGTCAAATTTGATTATTCCGGGATTTCACGACCGCTTACGTATCTTTTTTTTTTTTTTTCACCAGCTACATTTGCAAATGACTGGCGATTCCTTTTTTTTACTTTTGATTGGCCAAAATTTTTCTGCCACTATTGCATGCCCGATACTCTACACGTGCAGCCTTCATTATGTTGCAGTCAAAGATTCGATGGCCCGGCACTCCGAAAAAATCTCATATAAAATTGGTGTTATCGGATGTGGCCGCACGTCGAACCTGTCGATTTCCATCTGATCGTGTGCCGAGCGGTCGCCCTGTCGCATACTGCCAACGTGCGCCGTTGTATTCCGATGTTGACCATGTCAAACTGCTCCACTGTTCGTAGCTCGGGTAATTCGTCCTTGCCACCTGTCGCTTGACTTCGGTCTTTAGCCCCGCGAGGTACAATTTCACAATTTCCCCTTCATTCGGGTCGGGAATCAGGTTACAAAATTCCTCCATCTGATACGTGTACTGCACTATGCTCCCGAACTGTCGATGACGATGTATATCTTCTCGGCTCAAATCGCTTTAGCAGGTCGGTGTAGAAATGCTGCCATGTGGCTTCGCCATGGATAAAAGCACTGTTGCCGCCGATCCACTCGAGTGCCGGCCCTCGCATTGATGTCGCTGCGAGTCACACGCGCTGACCATCCCAAACTGGCGAGCTCCATCCGACCACTGTGAAGAATAATTCCATGGTGGCAAGCCATCTGCAGACGTCAGAGTTTCGATCGCTCGGATCGAGCGGTTCAGGTGGGCGCAGCTTCGGAACCTCAAGAAACTGATGTGATAGCTGCATCGTGGCCGTTGTTGTTTCATGCTATGCCCCAACGAGTCGAGCTAGTCACTCGAACTTATTTCTCTAAGCTTCTCGACCAGCTCGCATCTCCTCATGTAGGGTGGCGATGCGGGCAAAGAGCTGCTGGTTAACCTCGCCATTGTTGAAGTTTGCCATCCTTATCAAAACATGTGCGGAGGGGTTGATTTAAAAAAGGCGGGGCTGGTGCTTACCAGAATCAGCACCGAATTAATCGCTCCCGACGGTTTTTCGAGGTAGATTTTCCCACTGCTGCTGCTTAGCTGAGCACAGCCGATTGAGAAAAGCTATGATTATCAAGTGTTACGGGATCAAATGGGTCGAGAGAGAGTTGCACTATCGAACGATACAAGGCACTTTTATACTTCCAAGGTACACCAGGCAACCAGGTTTATCCTACAAACAAAATAGACCCTTCTCCAACTCCAAAAGTCCCTTAACAAGATCAAACAGGCACCACGCCTCTGGCAGCAGCATCTGCACGACATCTTGCTAGACATCGGCTTCCTCCAACTAGCCCATGACCACCTCCAAGACTGTGACCCAATTTCTCGGGCTCAACATTTCCTACATGCCAGAAGCCATCCACTTGTCCGCATCGAAATATGCAGAGACCCTCGCCTAGAAATTATGCGTCATGCCAGCCCCGCTCTCCACTACCTACCGCACACCTGCCGCAAGCTACAAGCCCGACACGAAGACACTCGCTCCTGCCGCACATCAACTCTACCAGCAGCAAGTCGGCTATCTGTTGTTTGCCGCCGTCAT